AATAAAAAAAAAATCTATGTATAGAAATGAGGCAATTTGCGAGGCTATGACTACAAATGAACATAAAAATAACTAAACGATTTCTCAATTCGTGAATGTAATTTCGCAAAGGATATAGCCCTACTTCCGTGGCCCGTAAATAATGGTACCTACATTTTCCACTTGCGAAGTTAATTCGTGCGTGCGTAAATCGTATTAAACAGAGATATAGTAGAAATGTTTTCATTTTACAATACAAAGTACTTTTTAATAAACACAAGAATAAAACACAAAGAGAATATAAGATAGGGTAAAGAAATGGCTTCATGCTAGGAACCTTTTCAATTTAACCTTGGAATGACAATGAATTTATTTTTTCGGTTTTAATTCGCGTATGGAGAGCCCGAAACGTTGGTTTGTTAAAAAAATGAACTAATTTACACGCGCGCGAGACGCAAGTACGTACTTGCACGCGGAATATGAGACTAGCATTGCGTGATATGCAATAATAGAGGCGCACTTAACTGTACGTGGGCAGCACGCAGCGTATATGCATCGTATTTGCCAGATCAGAACAAATATTATTACAAATGTTTTATATGTTTTTTATATTGCTAGCCATATAAAAATAATTTTGAATTAAAATATAAAATGGTCCTATGATCACAACTGACTGTGTCATGCAATCAATTTGTAGCAATACCTACAGATCTGGCGAATGCGCTGCATAGGCGCTGCATGCTGCACACGTGCAGTTAAATGTGCCCTATCATTGCATCTCACGCAACGCAACCCTCAAATTCTGCGTGTAAGTACCTACTGCATGCTTGCAAGTCGCGTGAGTGTAAATTAGTTTGCTCCTCTCAATTGTAAAGTTGTTTTTAGTTTTCAATTGTAAAGAAAAAGAGGACAAAACAGTGACGTTAGTAGCAGTTTGTGTTTTACAAAAAAGGACGGAGTATAGTGTCGGAGCTGAAATACAATGAAATATTTGTTGGCATTACATAAAAAATGAAATCAAATTTAAATTACCATCATAGATAATTTTCATACAAGTTGTGTTAGCCAAAAAAGCTTTTTCCAACAATATACAAACTGAGCGGGTGAGCCCTGTAGTGAATTAAGGTGAGGTGCGGGCAGTGGGAGGACTCTACTTAGTAAGGGTCGAACCACAAAACTGACATGCGGTGTCGCATCGCAAAAATCTACGAGCTCGCATGACGCATCGCAAGAATTTGCGAATTGCTCCGCATCGTGCATTCCTGCGATGTTAATCTTCTTTGAGTGTTTTTCCTATATTTTTTTATCAATAACAGCAGTGCAACACTCTTTTTACGATCCATGTCGCTACCTAGTTTAAAAAATACCTTTCGTTCGATTGACGATCGTCGAAGGAATGGTTACCCGAACCGTGTCACTGAGATGCCTTGCCGCACGAAATCGCATCGCAGCAATTCGCGTCGCAGTTTTCTGCGTTGCGAATTGGCATCGCGCCGATTCGCAGTATTGTGTTTCGACCCTAAGCCAGTACCACGCTAGCGTAGTCGCGTCACACGCGGCGCACAGATGGCGCGCTTACGGCACGCGAACAGTGCCTCTACCATGAGTTTACTGTGACAGTTGTCACTAGCGACAGCATAAAATATTTGTATATAAATTGTTGCTTCATCTCGTGACCGCTAGTAGCGCTATACAATTTTTCATACTAAAGAGTGAAGAAAGCAAACTCACTGTAATCTCGAGGTAAGGCACTGATCGCAATACGTAATCCACGTGTGCAGTTTGCGAGCTTACAAAACAAGCGCATTCGCCAGATCTGTACGCACCTTTAACACTCGATAAAATGAGTGACATAGTAAACTTATTCATTTTGAATTGCACAGGGACTTCAGCTCCAACAGCCCATCAGCGTACTTTCGTCTATGACTGACTTAAGGGACGGCATTATATAAAGCTGGATCCAATTTCGACTACTTAGTTTAGACTTAGATTTTAAGCTTTTACATTGTGTACCTATTACTCCGTCGTATTTATTATATTATTTTTTCGCCATAATTCACCCTATCGTTATTACTAGAAGAGCGTTTTCTCATTACGGTACATGATAATCACATGGAAATTAACTTTAACGTTTTAGTAAGACGGTGTAAATAAGATTCAAAGCGAAGCGTTAATAGCGTTTATTAACAGTGCAGCATATTCGCCTTACGAGGTAAGAAAATTATTGGACCCACGTCTTTTTCAGACCGAGATATTTTATTTTTCAGACCGAGTATTTCTTTTTCCATACCAGATAGGCAAACATTTGACCACCAAACTCGCATGGCGGTGAATGACGACGATGAAGATGGTGCATGTTTGCCTTTTTCTTCTTTTTAGTAGTGTTTTTTTACTGCATCGTATCTTGGAAAGTTCTCTGTGTGTGCTAGCTATTTCCATTATGTCCGGAATTGATTACTGAATTGAATTCCAGCCGGGCTTGCTTAGAAAGTGCCGATCAACTCTCGCCTTTAAAAGATCTAATTAAAGATTATGTTTAATATGATGCTTCATTACCATCAGCTCTTACAAGGAGGATATAGTCCGCCATGCTGGTACTAAGGGGGTTCAAATTTTATTTTTATTTATTTATCTTAAAGGAACACCAGCTTAAAACTAACTTATATAATAATAGTAACAACTGAGAGCCAATAATAGATCCTCACAAATAGGAATAACGCACACACTCAACATAGCCCCGAACTAGGGAAACCCTGTGTTGCGGGTACAATGGACACACACATAGACAGCCACAAATTACATCCTAACTCACGAGAGAAAGAAATGTAGGCCATACAAATATTTCTCCCGACCCGGGAATCGAACCTGGGACCTCTGAGTGGCAGATGGTAACCGTTCGGCCACAGGAAGCACAATTTAACTAACCTATCGCATGAAACATAATCTTATTACGTAAAACATAAAAATACAACCGCAGTAGCAAGCCTCACTATGAGTCAAAAAAATGCCCACTCAGTGCTCTCCTCGCCGAAATCGCATTCGTATTGAAAAGATCCAGATCAAAAGAAATACATAGAATGGTAAGATTATTGCTTGCACGCCACGCCAGTCCCGGGTCCGCAGTAGAACCAAAAGTGAATAGTTTCTCAAACATTTAAAGGGTAATTGTAAGTAATATTCGTGACAATAATTCCGGATAATCAATTGGATAATCAATTGAACTTGATGTTATTTTTATTAAAAACATTAAGTCACGATTTATATATTTTCAAGGGGTTGTGAACCTTCTTCGACATACAGGTTTCATCACGACGGTGTCTTTAACCATTGGCGAGAGTAATTCGGCAGTAACATTTCTGGTGGAAATTAAAGTCCGAAACCATTCTCTCACTGTTCTGCTGTTGCTGCAAGATGATGTAAGGTTGACTTTTCCGTGCCAAAATTTGACTTTTTTTTCTTGTTTGTGCACGTTTGCTTAGAAATTTTAAGAAAACATTACCGAGTTCTTATGCTTAAAACAAACAAAGTTTTACATGCGCCATGTCAGTCGGCTGTGACCATGGAACATGTAAAGGGCTGAAAATAAATATACGCGATTTAGATCAGAAAAACATAGTATAATTTTCAATATCTACATAATGTTTCTACGAAGTACGACGAAAAACCGAGTGTGCGCGAAAACACTTCAATTCGGTTGTGTCGTTATCCGAGTACGCCTAAACCAACATAACTGTTCCCCTCTGCACAATTCAAACTATTCCGAGAATCCGCAGCTATGAACAGTTGAAAGTTAATTTATACAAGGGAAAATAGTTGGAAATGTATGGGCGTAGTTTCGTAATTACAAGTTAATTGGAACTTTATTATCAAAGAGCAAAGGTTGAGGATGATGCCAGTAATTTGAAGAAAATTACACCCTAGTTAAATAATACATTAAATTTTAGTAATCTAAAGGCAGAAACAATGTCTTTGGATACTGAAAGGGTGCCAGTGATATTGTCTTAATATGGTAATAATAATAAAAATTATGAAATACACGAATGAATTAAGGAAATACTCTTTCTCACTACAAACCCCCCGTTCACACGGTATTGTATTGCACGTTTTTTGCAGTATAAATATTGTCGAATAAACACTGCAAAAAACGCACACGGCTCTATACGTTTATCGAATAAGCAACGGACTTGTCAAGCAAATCAAATGAAATTTAACGTATTCGGTGTGCAGTGGCGCATAGTATTAATGCGTCTCTTTCACACGGCATCTTACGTTTTATATCGAATAGTCACTGAACAAGCAGCGTCTATTGGAGTATCTTTTGCACGCATAATTTTATTAATACAAAATGACCGGCGAATCTTCTGTGGACAACAATTTCTTCATTGGTATCTTTAGTGAAACAAAGGCCCGTTTTATGGGACAAAACTATGAAGTTATACATATAATCCCAATATCTTCTGTTCTTCCGGCGCCAAAACTGTTGGCGTCTTCTAAGCTTATATAAAACTGCAACAAAACCTGGGTCCATAACAAACGTGTTCTCAGGGCAATTGCTTTGTGAATACTGCGGTTATCCGTCTTTTAAACCCAGGAAAACATATCATGCGAACACCCGCTGTCTATCCATTTATAATCGAATACGTCAAAAAACGTGTAGGACAATGCCGTGTGTACCATAGACCACATTCTTCCGTGGTGTGAAACAAGGCTAAGAGTACATATTAAAAAAATAACGCGGTCTTAATGTTCAAAATATACTCAGGAAATCTTAGAAAAGAGATACAAATTTAATTTATTACCTCTCAACACTCGGGTTCAGGTTTATTGTCTAATGAGTTTTTTGAACCTTATTTGTTAGAAACCAGAGTCTAAAATAGGCACAATTACGCCTGTACTACAAATCGATAGGCCCGCATTCCAAGTCTGGTACAAAACTAGGTTAATCGTTATAATATAACGTTAATGAAGTAAGTCAATATGAAAGGTAAATGATCTATTAATTTGCTACATCGGTAACTTACTTGTTTCTCCAGGCCGGTAATGATGCCTAGCGGGTCTCACGATGACATCCCTCACGGGGCCAAGAAGTCGGATGACGCTGTGACTCTTCGAAGTACAATCATCATTGCCAACGCACCCCACTGTCGTGTGGATGGTGCAATGAGAAGCTGGTGATGATGGGATCTTGAGCGGGATTATTCCATAGCCTGTAACAATGAGAAAAATCATTAATGGTGAAACAAAAACCATAATAGGTGTGTTCTTTTTATATATCTGGCATCATGGCTCCTTACAGATCGCTCTCGGGTACGAATTATTGAACTTAGGTTATTTATTTAACTTAAATTTGTAGCACCACAGCCCAATAACAACAATTTTAGTTACATCGCCTTACCGATAGATGGCGTTGGGATCTAAATGGAATGCGCTGGAAATGGAATCAAAGTGTTCACAGCAAATATTGTTATTGAACATAGCATTTTGTACTGTAGACTTCCTTTCATCCTGTGGCGCAGTCAAGGCCATGAAACTGCAACATATCAATGTCAAAAAAAGTACTGTAGAATATTTTAGGGCTCAATTGCACCAACTATCTTGCTTCCGGGTGAGCTGCTGCTCTTCTGCGACTTGCTTAGCTATTCCGTTGAAATCTTTAGGGTGTCTACGCCACTGCTTCCACTTGTGGGATTGTTTCATAGCACTCATCGTAGCCGCATCTTTGCTTCCACTTCTGGGACAGTCGTAGCTGTAGCGCCGTAGAGCATATTTTGGAACGCCGCCTGTATGCGTTGTATCCATAATAAACAGCATATTCGTACCTGCATTGTGTTGTTGTCAGTGCCTACGTCGCTACACTTTATATCACTACAAATTTAATTATCGTAAGCATTTATAAATGAAACATTACTGTTAGTAAGGAACTTATTCAAGTCATTTTACCCTCGGTTTTAAGCGTATCCCAATAATCGTAAAGTAACTTTTAAGAACTTCACAGTTTCAACAGAAGTTTCAAGTTGCTAATCTCCTTTGAAAAGATATTACAAGTTGTTTAGGTACATACTACACTTGAAGCCGTAAGCGACTTCGATTTGAGCAATAAAAACTTGGAGCGATTCCAAATGGAAAGATGTTGAGAATTCAAGCAATTTTCAAGCGGCTATTAAAAACATGCGCAATAGAAATGGTGGAACTATCAATAGTTTAAAGTTTTCTCGTGAAGGAAAATTTACAATCGCTTTTACAGCTTTCGTCAACTTTCATTTAATATACACACATCAAAAATGTGTAGGGTGTCAAGGTGTTTTTTTTTAATATTTGATTACCCTATTAAAATTAAATAAAAATATCTTTAAACAAATTTATTATTCATTTTTAAATTATGAAATTGACCAAAAAAACCATTGATGTTAAAAAATTTAATAAAAAGGTCTGATTTTCAGTAATTGGCAATAATGACTTAAGTTGATGAATCCCATGTGCCTGTAATTTCACCAGCATCCTTATCCTTTAAAACCGGAACGCAGTAATGCTTACATTACTGCTTGGCAGTAGAAATAGATAAGATGGCAATACTTCCCTAGACCACAGATAATACAATACTATATACTAAAAAATGTCATCTGTACAATTTATGGCAAACTATCACGTCAAAAGTAATCTATTGAAAAACCTTCGATCTTTTCAACAACCTTTTGTTTTCACCAATTTTCAAAATTGTAAATAAATTTTAATTGATCGCTCCTCAAATGTTGTTTAAATCGTTTTACTTTTCGTTTTTATATTTTATACTTCTTATTTAATACGAAATATCTAAAATTTTGGAGATTAAATACTTAATATTTTTTATTTTGTCCAAGTGTCGCCATCTACAATTTTAAATAAGAACTGCAGTTAATTTGTATGGATTGATACCCCATGCCTAGACGAACTCTTTCTCAAGGAGCTTTACTACTATTATAAGCTACATCTCTTGTCAGACGTTGGTAGCTGGAAAGGTACCTGGTTGAGCGAAGAAAAAACTTTCATAGGTTTCTTACAGGAGACGTTATGGCAATAAAATAATTAAAACCAAAAACAAAGATCACTCAGCTGTTAGAACGATAGCTCTGGTTTGGCGAAAAAGTCGCTATTATAAAGTTCAGCCGGATCGCAGAAATTTTTCTTTGTATTCGTTTAACCGATCAATCGATATTGCAAATATATGAATGTCATGGTAGTAATAATATCATGATATTCAATAAAATAAATATTAGACCACTAAATAGTTATTCTAGAGGTCTTATTCAAATCATTTGAAGTTCTAACTGTATTAGAGCTTCATGGAATAGTTTAGAGAGCGCGTTCCATACACACATAATTTGATTTTATAATTTAATTCAATTATAATCGGGAGACACAGTCTTGTGCGTCAGACATCATAGAGTTCAATCTAGTTAAATTACAGAGTATGAAAATTACACGGACGGAAAAGTACGTAATTTTGTACCATAAAGAGCGGAACTTCATCCGAAGTTTTCAAAGCAATAAAACCGATACCTCCAATGAACACTACGTCAACTTAATTTTTGGACCTCTTCTGTTTTTATTTTGTTTTTTGTTGCTTTATATATTTTTTCATAAAATTAGTTTTTTTTTTTCGAATTTTGTTTATGGTTTCTTTAAGATTGTTTCACAAAATTGTTTTTTACATTTTGATTGAATTGATATTCAATTATTTTTTGTGAAATTACTCCTCTAGTTTGTTATATTTATTAATACAAAGATCAATCACTCAGAAAAAAAATGTTTTTTTTGTTTTCAAATTTTTTTGTTTCTTTTTTTCCACAAAAGTCGGGAAACATAATATTAGTAAATAAATATGGCTGTTTACAAAAATAACAGAAAATGTCCAAAAAATACACATGGCGTTGTGGTCATTGGAGGTTTCGAAAAATTGTTTACAGATGTCAAAACACTACTGAGAAACAATTAATTACTTGTAGCTAAAAATTATTTACCTCGCGACGCAAAAACTAGGAAGTTTTTTTTATAATACTAAGTGACAGGACGAACAAGTCGTGTGCCCGGTGGTAAGCGACACGCCTGTCCATGACATTTGCAGTACCACTCAGAGCTTCAAATCGTAAAGATCTAAGGGACACCGCAAACTGCACCCGTTACCCTGAGACATCCGGTCACTTAGATCGGAATTAATGAAGTTTTTATTATACATTCATTATTATCGTTCCCACTGAAGTGCGTTTAATATTTTATTATGATAATATGTTGCTCTTAATAATTGCGGATTATGGCAGAATGTAAGCGCAGGCAATGTCCATCATAATCCTCTACAACCAAGTTCATTATTAAGTTATATTTAGTACAAAACAGTATACTGCGCTTCAAAACACAAATTATTGACATTGGTCATAAAGCCACGAGCTTAAAATGGAACTGGACCGGACACGACTGCCGCCTGTCAAACGAGCTGCGGGCAAAGACCATCACAGAGTGAATCCCATCAGACGCAAGACGAAACCGTGGAAGACCCAAAACAAGATGGCGTGACGGATTGGAGTGGATATGAGGTCTTGACTTGTAACGGTGTTAAATCGCGAAGAGTGGAAAAAGGGAAGGGAGGTCTTTGCCCTGCAGCAGGGTAGTAATGGCTAAAAAATGAAACGAAAATGAAATAGCCACAAAGCATACGCCATGTTGTTTTGTTTCTGAGCATCACAATAATACCGTCGGAAAGTTCTCGTGAAAACAAATACTTTTCTTAATTTGCAAACGAACAAGCAAAAACTCGCTCAAAGGTATTTTATGAACAGAAAAAGTATTCTTTATCATTTATTTTTCTTAACAATTCATTATATCAGATACTTGCCTTTATCAATGTTTCGTTCTTCAAAGGTTTTTCTTTAGTCCCTGAAGTAATTTGTTTTTATATCTTTTGTGTATACCGGAAAGCTCTTCCAAGTGATTTCCGTTACTCTGATACTCATAGGGCAGGGAATTTCCCAGTTTGCGACCATGCCAATTTAGTTGCAAAGGCTGTTGAGTCTCAATAGAGTGTCAATGGAATGGAAGTGATAACATTCATTCATTCAATCAAATTAACGATCCATGTTGCCTTACTAAAACTATCATGGAAATTACTATTCACATCTTAAAATTAAGATAATATCTCTAGTTTAAATAAACAATTAATCTTCGACATTTGGTCATCGACGTGCCATGGATTCTCCAATAAAGAGCAGAATACAAAAAAAAATGCAATGGCAGTTGAATAGTAGCTTGACGGCCAGCCACTATTCTTAACACGTTAATTGCCACTCACGCAATATCGCGTGATGCGAGTTCTCTCCAAACGGCCGATCACGCGTTATCGCGTGGACGTCGCGTCGCTACCAAGTTTCTAAGCGGAATAATATAGCGGCCACAGCGAAACGGTACGTAACATTTATATTGACCACTAGGGAATGTAGCGTATTTCGTGTGGTGGGGATGGCCACCAGCCACTGTCTATTGTACAATAATTAGTCCAACGAAATAAAAACTAATAACTTTCTTATAAATGTTGATTTTTGATAATTACTTATTTTTGTATTTGTACGTTACTTAAAAAAAATCTATGTGATTATAAAAGACTAATAATTAAAGTTATAATCATTGTATTAAATGTTTAACAATATATAACTTATTTTACCCAATCACATATTATCATATATATCTATCACGCGATATCGCGTGATAGATATTTAAAGTACACAAATCGTATGTACATAATAATAAACGTATATAAATAATATATTAACTTAAATTGAGCACAATAAACATTTAAAAAAGGTTTGGCCACCACACATAATTTTTATTATTAAAAATTTAATAATAACTTTCGTAAATATTTTTCATGTTATAATTTAAGTTTTTTTTTATATATGTATGTAATGGGAATAGTATGTGATGGGATAAACAAGTCGTGCGCCTGGTGGAAAACAAAACGCCTGTCCATAACGGTTGCAGTGCCACTCAGAGCTTTAAATCACAAAATGTATTAAAATATCATGTTTTGACTTGTCTAAATGGCTGGCTTAAACAGGCTAAAAAGTTTCGCATGTCCCGGAATTTTCGAAAACGCACCGAGTTTCGACATTTTTTCGCGAGACGCGGAAATACAGCGCGCCTAAAAGCCTTATACGCTATCGTAGTTATTCTGGCATCAGAATTAAATGCCTCCATGGCCGAACGGTTACCATACTGCTCTACCACGCAGAGGTTCAAGGTTCAAATCGTGGAAGGTTTTTTTTTACTTAACTGTCTCGGTGGCCTAACAGTTACCAACCTGGACTGCCGTGCAGGGGTCTCGCGTTTGAATCCTGGGCTGGGAGAAATATTTGTACGGCCTACATTTTTTCTCTCGTAAGTTTGGGAGTAATTTGTAGTTGTGATTGTGTGTATCAATGGCAACCGCGATACAGGGTATCCCTAGGGTATCCATGAGTGTGTGCGTTATTATTAAATTGTTTCATCCCGCTTCTCTCCGTTTTGTAATGTTAGTACAATGCAACGCGAACTTTAAAATGTATACAATGTGTTGTCGAGAAGAGTGTTTCAAAGTTTGCTATATTCAGAACTAAAACCATGAAAATTTTCCCGTATAACTAAATTCAAAACTACCACTTTGGAAATAAGTTTTATAAAGATAGTTTCGCACTAGCACTTCA